TATATATATATATATATATATGGTATTTTTTATATTGTGCAGCGAGTGTTGGGCAAAATTCCACGGCTGTGTCGGTTGTCGACGTGCATCGCATTGGATTGCAGAGATTTCAGCACACGAATCGCAGTATCGGGTCAGATCGGATTCAATTATTGCACATCATGTCATGTTGGCCTCGTCCGCGTCTGCAGCACAGTGTCGGTAGGCGAGTACGGACGTGTCGCCGGACGGACAACCCTCACTGACGTGGGATCGTTTATGACACGCACCTTAATTGCTTCCTTCACTTTGACAATGCGGTCCGGTAGAAACAGTACACCGGCATTAGTGATCTCGACCTTCTTTCAATGCATATGCATCAGGCTAATGATCAATGAGCAAATAACATGATGTTATTAAGTGGTGTTTTCTGTTTACACAAAATCGACTGCTCAAAATAAAAGAAGAAGAAGAAGAAGAAGAAGACGACTAATAATGACACACTCTCGGCGGACAATAAAAGAAGAAGAAGAAGAAGAAGAAGAAGAAGAAGAAGACAACTAATAATGACACTCTCGGCGGACAGATCCTTTCACCGTACGGAGCAGCTCCTGGAGATGCCTACGGTGGACCCCCAACGCCGCCTGCAGAACACCGAGATGTAGTCTAGTCAAGAAGATTGCATACGGTGGGTTTTATATACTAGCATTAATAAGATGAATAATTCATACTTAGTGCAGCTAATTTCTCTGTTACGCTTAATTTTCTTTATTTGTGTTATGATTTAATGGTGACAATTTAAATGGGCAGCTAACTTATATTTTTAGATCATGTTCCACCCGTGTATCTGTTAGACATAAAATACGAAGAAGATTATTTTTAAATTTGATACGAGGCTCTCTATTTATACACATTAGGAGGAAGGATTTTCATCAATCCTCATGTAGTTGAGAAAATTTTGGTTATTATCAAGGCTGTTATTAAGAAAAATCTTAACTACTATCATGCCCCCACAAGACGGTGCTCCTGTCAAGAATACCGATCTTGGACTGATATGAGAAAAATATTTTACGAGCGAGAGGTTTCGTGAGTAAGTACGCTAGTTGATCAGCTGTATGTACATGAGAAACACGTATTTGATGTCTTACAACTTATTCTCGTACAAAGTAAAAGTCGATGATTATGTGTTTAATGCATAAGTGAAATACTAGATTGGTGCATAGGTAAGTGGCTCCGACATTGTCACAATAGATTGTAGAAATAGAGGTGAAATAGATGTCAAGTTCGTTGAGTGGATTTGTAATCCAATTGAGTTCTGCATCAGCGGTTGCAATGGTACGGTATTCCGTTTCAGTTATAGATCGTGCAACTGTCTTTTGCTTCTTAGAACTCTAACTGATCGGATTAGCTTTAAGGGGAGTTATAACCGCTTTTGCATCCTGCATGTTTGTCTTTGATAATAGATCTTGAATATATCTTCTTTGTGATAGGAAAAGTCCCGAAGACATGTATGTTGCTTCCACTCCCAAAAAGTAGCTTAAGGGTCCTAGATCTTTGAGGGAGAAACGATATGCCAAATGCCTAAGGAATATCTTGATTTCTAGAGGATTGTTACCCATGACAATAATATCATTCACATATACCATAAGATATTTTGTATTACTACCATGGTGATGAAGAAATAGCGAGGTAGCTGACTTAGAGTTAATGAAGTCATTTGATAAAAAAAACGAGCCAAGTTCGGTATACCAGGCTCTTAGAGCTTGACGAAGTCCATAAATAGCTTTTTGTAGTTTACAAACATGCTTTGGATACTGAGAGTGGATGAAGCTAGAAGGTTGCTATATTAAGACATCTTCAGTTAGAATCCCCTGTAAAAATGCATTGTTAACATCAAGTTGTCGTAAATGCCAACCTTTTGAGATGGCCAAACTCAGAATAATTCGGATTGTTGTATGTTTAACAATGAGACTAAATGTTTCTGTGAAGTCAATACCAGGACGTTGATGAAACCCTTTGGCTACTAGACGCACTTTATATCTGGCAACGTATCTATCTGGGTTTTGCTTAATTCAAAAGGTCCACTTACACCTGATGATATTTTGTATGGGATGTGAAGGTATAAGGGTCCATGCAGAATTATAGAGGAGAGCATCATATTCTTCACACATAGCTTTACGCCTAGTATGAAGATTTTTGAGTTTGAGTAATTGTGGTAGATTTCCGATGAAGATTTTGTAATAGCATGTAGGTCATGGACTTGTCATGGTTTAAAGATACCACTTTTAGAGCATATTGTCATTAGATATATAGGTTATGTTGTAAGTATGGGTGGTAGAGATGTATTGACAAAGATTGTAGGTACTTCAGTGTCACTGGTCCTAGAAGATAATAAAGGTAATGGTTGTGTTTCCAAGGACATTACTTCATCAACAGTAGGAGAGCCTTGTGAAGGAAGAAGGGCAATGAAGGAGGTGAGGAGCTACTGAACCAGGGGAAGAAGAGAGTGTGGATCTTGAGGAGAAGGATAGGAAAGTGTTGTGGGAGACTCTTGTGACCGGATTGGCAGTGTACTCCAATGATATGTGTAAATGGTGGCGTAGGGCACACAACAGGAGACTCCGGGTTTTGAAATGAAAAGGTAGACTCCACAAAAATAACAAGACGTGATATAAAGACTTTTTGAATTTAGGGTTCGTAGCATCGAAAGACATTATGTTCAAGAGAGTATCTGATAAAAATGCAAGGCTTAGATCTGGATGTTATCTTATGCAAGACATAAAGATGTAGCCATGAATAATATAAATAGCCAAACACTTTAAGTTTTTGAAGGTTTGAGGATTTATGAAATAGTTTTTCAAATGGTGATTCGTACTAGAGGATTGGAGTGAGTATATGATTAATGAGGTAGATGGCAGCTTGAAAGGCTGCAGTCCAAAATGTTGTTGGCATGTAGGCTTGATGTAGGAGTATTAGACCAGTTTCAACTATATGTTGATGTTTGTGTTTAGCAGAGCCAACAAGTTGAGGAGTATGTGGGGGTGACTTAAGGTGTTGTATATTACAAGTAGAGTGGTAGGATGTGAGGGCTTTATATTCATCGCCACCATCGGAGTAAACTGTTTTAATTGTATACTTAAAGAAGTTCTCGACCAACCTTCAAAGTTAAGATTATTGAAACTTCAGATTTATGGTGGAGAGGGTATAACCATGTGTACTTGGCGAAATAGTCTACGAAAATAACATAAAATCAGAACTTGTCAAAAGAAGTGATTGAGACAAGGCCCTAAACATCGGTATAAATAACTTCAAAAGGTTTAGAGCAAGATATGGAAGATATTCCAAAGGGGAATCTATGACTTTTATTACTTAAACAAGCATTATAATGAGTTATAATGCTACTGGTTTGAAGCATAGGAAGAAAATAACGAGAAAGTAATTTCTGTTGGATAGAGGATGAGAGATGATCAAGACGATGATGCCATACATCAGTTGGAGCTACGATCGAAGAGTAGGCAGTGGGTTGGGTGATTTGTGGAACTGATAGTCACTCGTAAATGTTGTCATTACTCTGGCCTCGGACCAAGGATACCCCCATGCTCAAATCCTTGACAAGAAAGAAGTTAGAAAAGAATTCAATTGAGGTATGATTCTGTTTGTAGAATTGAAAAACAGAAATGATGTTTCATTTGATGTGGGGTACACACAAAATATTATCGAGCGTAAACATAGTGCTATATGAATTAAGCATTGTGGAACCAGTATGAGTAATGGGGAGTCCGTTACCATCACTGACGATAATATCTCCGTTTCCGTCATATAGTTATTATGGAAGGATAAGTTTTGTAGATCAGAGGTGATGTGATAAGATGCGCCAGAGTCTACAATCTAATTTTGATGACCAGTAATCAGAGTCATTGTAAGATTTGCGTGAGGCTAATGTGACAAAACTGTCAATTCCCGGAATTCCGGGATCAAGCGGTTGTACCTCCTGACTGGGGCGGTTGCACCGCCTGGTAGAGCTCGAAGACTGAGCCTCTGGGCGGTGCCACCTCTATCAGGGGCGGTTGC